TATATATAATGTTTTTGGTCTGATAATCTAAGTTTCGGTTTGAAAAAATTAACAGGGATTAAAATGTTTTTTTATCTTTTTTTTTTTTAGAGTTTTCATTTGACATTGTTTTTCAGTTTTTAGTTTTTTGGTTGTTGCCTCGTGTTTTTGTCATATTAATCAAAATTTAATAAGGTTATTGAATTTCTCTTACTTTTCTATAAACATAAACATCTATTGAACCTTTGTTTTTAGTTAAAAACATCCGAAATATTGCACAAGCCACCAATCTGGTAAGTAAAGATACAACACGTGGAGGTACCAGAGGCTATAATATTGTATTGCAATTGTTTTGTGACAAGTGAAAATCATATTCATATTCCAAGGTATCATTCGTTTTCATGGCCCTATCATGTTTTTTTTTAAATAATTTTTTAAAATAAATAATTTTTTATAATTTTAAATTGTTTTAATATGTTAATATAAAAAATAAATTAAAAAAATTATTTAATATATTTTCAAGCAAAAACCATTATAAAACTTGATCGTTATTTCAATATCAAACACCACCTAACTTTCCATGAGTGGATTTAATGAATTTTTCTAGTTATTTGATATTAAGTTAGTTTCAATTCATATATATATATTTCACTTAACAGCATGTTTGATTACATTTTAAATCCTAATCTCATACAAGCTATAATAATATGATTTTTTATTTACTTTACATTCAATAATCCATCTCTCAATTATTTTAACAAAATATATACTTTTAATTTTTTAATCATAATTAAAAATATTTTTTAAAACAAAATTTTTTGAAACTGTAATTGAGAAGTTCACCGCAATGTCAAACAATGCACTAATTATAAATGATATTGTTTTTTAAATAAATTATTATTATTTTATATTTAAAAAATAAAATTATTTCTAAAATTAACAGGGTCAAATTACTCTAGAAACTAAAATATACAAGGTGAATAGTTTGTAGCCAGCACTATTTACCCCCTTTAAAATATTATAAGTAACCTTGATTATTTAAAAAAAAAATTATTTCAATCCTCAAAGTTTTATCTTGAAAAATTTAACCTTGATTGAAGGATAATTGATTTAGATTTTTTAAGCAATGATAAAATTAAAAAAATAAAAATCAAGGTTAAGAAGGCACCAAATATGGGCAGCGTGCCAAAAATTTTAAGAAAATATTCTTTGATCCTTTAACTTTAAAAATAACATAAATTATACAATTTAAATATCTTTATTTTTTTTTCATATTTTAATATGGTACAAAAGTTTGTTTTTGTTTATTTATAGTTAATGGTTGAGGAAGGGGAGATAGATGTTGTTAGATTCTAGCATTAAAAAGAAAAAAAATACCATTAATACCTGTTTGAGCAAAAAAATCAGTTAATATTTGAGTTAAATATTTTAATTTGACGAGGATAATTCATACTAGGTGTTTTTACCTTTAAAGTCCATGAAAAATAATTCTGAGCTTGGTTTAATTTTTTATTCTGAGTTAATTTTGATTTTTAAAATTATTTTTTTAGATTATAAATAGGTTTATCATGATTTATAAGTTATTTTGAGTAAAAAATAACTTGAGGAAAGATTTTTTTGATAAAAAATAAAAGCCTCAATTTTCTACCATTAAATATGGATAAATGAGATGAGCTGTTGTTTGTCTTGACAAATAATGTATTGTCTAGTTTATTTTTTGAATTTGTTTGGGATGAATAACAATTACAAAATGGTCCAATTACGCGGGTCCTTATAAATTTTCTATTTTTTAAAATTAATATTTTTTATATGATTTTTCTCTTAATTTCGTTTCAATTTAGATCAATATCCTTTCTCTTTTTTATTTTGTTTAAAAAATCTATTTTAAATGTCAATTATTTTTTTTCTATACATTTAAATTTTGAAGAATTTTTCTAATTTTTCTATATATTTTTTAATCTTTTGTATATATAAATTTTATTCATGAAAAAAAGTTTTTTCAGATAATATTTATAACATGTACTATCTTATATAATATTTTTTTTAATTTTATCTAGTTAATTTAACCTGTATCTCTATTTTAATTATTATTTGCTTTAATAAAAAATATTTTAAATAAAAAATTTAACAAACATAATTGATTAAATATTCCATCTTTCATGATTAAATATTTTAATTTATATTTATTTCTTTATTTTTAATTATTTTTTACACATATAATTTTGAATTTATTTAATTACAAACATGTATAAATTTCTATTTTTTTAATATAAAAACATGTTAAAAAAACCTTATATTAATCGCAGGGTTGAAACTAATTCAACGCTCGAATAAGATTTAACAACTACGGTGGAAATACGATGAATGATTGAAGTTTAGAACAAGGTTCGACCTTGGAAAAGAAAACGAGTTTTGATTTCGATTGTGGTTTTAGCATGTGATTAAACTCTGATGAAAGGTCTCTTTTGGCCTTTTAGGCTCTTTGAAAGGACTCTTTGCCTTGCCTGATCTGCAGGGGCTTTTACGAGGTTTGCTCTCGCAATAATTTCTTTTTAGATTTGTCGAGAAAAAAAAAAAACTTTTCAAATTGCTCAAGAGCCACCTGCGTGTCAGCTTTTCTTAGCACCTGTTGAGTATTTTGTTCCAACGGGAGTTTATTTAATTTTTTTAATATTTTAAGTGTGGCATTAAAAATAAATTTTAAAAAATAAAAAATATTATTTTAATATATTTTTAAATATAAAATATTTTTTTAAACAATTATTATTTCACTTCCAAACAATCATTTATTTAATATCAAGAATTTCTTTTGACATATGATGAGAGAAAAATTAATTTTTTTCAAATTTGTTTAATCGAACAAACTTTTCCCAGTCAAACTCAAACATTCAAGCGACACGTGACCATATATAAAAAAGAAACCAACAAGTACAACAATAAGTAATGGTGTCTAAGTAAATTTAACGGGAAACAAAACCTCTCACCCTCTTTTTCTAGCCTTCGAGAAGAAACTCGAAGCTGTACAGAAACATTCTTTCAGGAGCTCTAGAGGCAAAGAAATAAAGCAGGAAGTAAACAAAGAGAAACATTCCGAGTGTGATTTATTGTTTCTCCGAGTGTGATTTATCCCGCTCCAGAATCCAGTATTTACCCCAAAAAATTGTCAGTCTCTCAATTAGTATCTTTTTAATTCTGTTTAAATTCATTTTTTACTCAACATTAACAATCCGCTGCCCCCCCCCCCCTCAAAATTCGCACTTAATTTCAGCTTTCTAATGAATTTTTATGCTATTATTTTGTCTGTTATTTTTTTATACAATTCTATTTTTTATATTATTCGTGGATTTTTATATTAATCAGCTGATTAATCTTTGATCAGATGATTTATTTATTTTCTGTTAATTCTTCTGCACTAAGATTCCGATTCTCATGACTATTTTTATGCTTTTAATTCATTTTTTAGACTAATTTCTTAGCTCAATTTTCCCCGACTAATAGAAAATTTTCTCCGTATTTTGGAATGAATTATTATATTTTGTTTATGTAAATTTTTTAATATAATTAGTGTTATTTATAGCTGTGTTAATATTAATTCTTAATTATAGTAATTATTTTTATTTCAGAGAAAAAGAAATGAGCCGAGCAAGTCGAACACTTTACGTTGGCAATCTCCCCGGCGATATTCGTGGGAGGGAAGTTGAAGATTTGTTTTATAAGGTTTTACACTCTTTCACTTTTTTCGCTTGATTTTTATTTTAGTGATAATTACAGTATAAATATCGATTTTTTGTTTAAATTTTGTTGCGGTTTTCGAGCATTTGTGAGTTGATATTGTTGAAGTTGATCTCAAGTGTTATGGGTCTGGGTGAAAACATAGTGATATTTGGTATCTTAGATCTGTCAAATTAATGGCTAAGCTGCGGCACTGCGCATGCGATGATGAATTGATGCATTTTATTGACCAGTTTGATAGGGTAAAGTGAGCGGTTTGCAGCGAAGTAATCAGTGATAAGTGTATTGTTATTAGTAGTATTATGTGATTCTGACTTGTGTTGATTTTGAATTGCAGTATGGGCCCATTGTTGACATTGACTTGAAAATCCCACCGAGACCTCCAGTCTATGCATTTGTTGAGGTGAGATTAAGTTTTTGGTGCGAGGTGTAATCATATGGGAAATAGCACGCACTTGTGTGCACTTTGGATTGGCTAGTTGCTTTGGTTTTTAAATTTGCTTTGAAGTTGAATTTTATTTCCTATCCATTGAATCTGTGTGTGACTAGTATAAATTTTTTACTCCTTTTATGTTATAGTTTGAAGATGCTCATGATGCTAAGTATGCAATTTGTGGTCTGGACGGATATAATTTTGATGGTTGTCGGTTACGAGTACGCCTCTATTCTTTCCTTTTATTCTCTTAAATAAATCTACTTTGTTTTTGCTAATAACAAATAATTTGATTTAATTTGGTTTGTTGTTGTTGATTTTGTTTTTGTTTTGTGCTTTGCATTAATTTGACTTGTATGCAATTTGGTTTCTAGGTTGAGCTTGCTCATGGTGGGCGAAGAAATTCATCACCAGTGGATCGTTATAGCAGTTACAGTGGTAGCAGGGGTAGCCGTGGGCCTCCCAAGTACTCTGACTATCGTGGTATGTTTCACTCTGATGTCCCTCTTGCAGTTTCATAAAGTGTTTGCTCCCAAGAGCTTATTTGATAGTTCTTTAATCATGCAGTTTTAGTCACTGGATTGCCTTCTTCTGCTTCGTGGCAAGACTTAAAGGTATAACGAGGCCTTGATTTTTCTGCTGCATCCAATCTCCTCCTCGAGTATTTTGGTTCTATGTCGGGTCATAAGATCATTCAGTCTTCATTGTTAAATAGATTTTTTATCATGAATATTTAATTATCAGGATCATATGCGTCGAGCTGGGGATGTCTGCTTTTCTCAAGTCTTTCAAGACCGTGGTGGTAAGTAAATTAATGTAATGCTTACGTTTTGCTGCATGGTTATTGAATAGCCAAGTCAAACTTGTTAGCAGAAGTAATCTTTATTAAGTAATGATTTCCACTGGTTCATGTTTTTCACTCTAAAGTTATTTTTAGAATAGAAGGGAAATTATATGGTTTTGGACCATACAAATGGGTGCTTAGTGGATGAACCCATTAAAACAATTTCAACTAATGTAAGCTTCTTTAATATCTACCATAGAACTGCCCAAAATGGCTTTCTGAGATAAGCTGTGTTTGAAGCTATTTGTGGTTGCATTGCATGCTGGATGTAAAAAAGAGAGACCTGTGAGCTTCTCTGTTTTTTTTTTGAGGGCTGAATTTGAAAAGCTTTAGTTGGATGTAGAAGTGACATTGCACCCCAGACACCCCAAACTTGAAGTTAATGGCATTAGTAACACTTTTTAGCAACATTTTGCAGGCATGACAGGAATTGTAGGCTACACGAACTATGATGACATGAAATATGCTGTAAGTTACTACAAGTTTTAGGCGGTTCATTATGAATTTTGTTAGTTTATTTATTTATGGTTATGTTGTTCTTCCCATGTAGATCAAGAAGCTTGATGACTCTGAGTTCCAGAATGCATTTTCTCGGGCATATATTCGGGTCTGTCAAGATCTGTATGCTGTCCTAAATTTTGGTCACTTTGGTTTGTACTTAGCTGTCTTATTTATCTAGGTGCGGGAGTATGATTCTAGGAGGAGTTACTCTAGGAGCCCCAGATACAGTTCACATGTGTCAAGAAGCCGGAGTCGCAGTCGCAGTCACGATCGAAGCTATAGTGACAGGAGCTGGAGGTCCACACTGCTGTAATGGATTTAGAATGTTTAGGTTTAAGCCTTAATCATAATTGACTTAATGTTGAGTTCTTTTTGCAGCAAGTCTTCAAGGGCAAAATATTCATGGCATTCTCGATCTGTATCTGTTTCCTCTCGTTCTTGTGCAGGATCATCTCCATGATCTTTGTCGAGGTATACCATTGCTGCGTTTCTTTTCCTGTCATTGGTTGTTATTTTAAGATGTTCAATTAGATATTTGTTAAAGTTTGTTTTTAAGCTGTTATAACTCGAGGTCATTTTAATCACAAATGGTTGATAGGTGTTACAATTTGCATTTCAATCCTTTTTAGTTTTGTGTCTATTTCTGCATTTTTTATCTAATGGGATGGTTTTCTAAGAGAAGGGAAAATAATGGGGAAGTTAGGTAAAAGATAAATCTGTAAAAGTTCTTTTCTCTTCTACCATTTGGTTGCCATTTTTTTTCATCCTGCTGCATGTTTTTTATATCCTAAGTTCATGAGTTTTCATGATTTAGTAGCCACTCTTCCTCTGGGCCTCTATAAGATATAGCTGAAGTTACTTCAATTTTGACTTGCATGTCCTTTTGTTCTTAAATTTGTCCAAAGAGCCTATAATGCTGGATCCCTTTATAAAATATTACATGAAAGAGCTGACTGGGCAATTTTTTTAATTTTTAATTTTTTAACTGAATTGATGTGCCAAATTTTATGAAATAGCAGCAATATCTTGCTTTTTCATGACCATTGACTCATCCCATCTAGAGAGGCATAATAGCCAAGGTTACAGCTTCAGTTTTGTATGCATCTGACTTGGGTTCTAAAGCTTCATGGCTGTCTTTGAAAGTAGATTCACATGCGTGGAAATATATTTCTATGCTTCTCATCACAAAAAGTTTTGACACTCGAGTCCCGAACTTTACATGATAGACTGGTCAATGTTGAATCTTTTATGACATGAGAAATGCACCTTCCAATTAAGTTAGTTGAGTATCCTATTTGAAGGTTGACAGAATCCAACTTGCACTTGAAGAAACTTTCGAGGCTGAGCTTTATTTTAGGTAGCGTACTGACTATACTTCTTTCTTTGCATTTGTCAAATTTAGTGCTATAGAGCATATTCTTCATTCTCTATGCCTTGGCCTTTTAAGTTTGCCTGTCATCTTCCATTCCTTAGCGAGCTTGCCATTTTAAGCAATTCCTTTATTTTTCATCGGTTGATCTTTTTATTTTTGTTTGCATCTGCTACTATTTCAGTGGATGAACCTCCAAATTTTATGGTAATTTTCCAATAATTGCCTGTTTTCTGATGTTGTTTTCCCTCCATAATTAGAAATTCTTAATGTGATGGCCATCTCAAGCATCTTGTAACCATGCCAATTCAACATTTAATACCTTCTAGTCGGGCAACTTCTTGCTATTCATCTATCTTCACTGCTCATTAATCTTGCTTATATGCTAAAACAATCAACCACTGATTGGGATTGGAAAGCTAATATACCGGAAAGAGTGTAAAGTGCTACTGGGAAAGGGCTTCTGGGTTGGCTGGTATTGTACCTTGCCTGTGAAGGCTGCCTTGTTTGTTTTGCTTGATCTGGCTTTGTGCAGTGATCTGGCCACCTGGGGATTGGATGTTAAGGACTTGATGGGATGTGTTGGGTCGTATGCGTGCACCTCTTTGCTTGTTTTGAGGTAATGATGTTTTTGTTGATGGGCACCTCTGGAAAATCCTAATAATCTCATAATGCTTTTAAGTTGATTCCTAATAATCTTACAATGCTATTAAGTTGGCTTGCCAATTAACATTAGACTTTATCAAGCGTGGATGGGATTGTGATTCTAAAGCTGGATTAAGTGGAGTAAGTGCTATTGGTGCTGCCTGCTCACAAGCGGTACAAAGAAACTTGAAACTACTTCAACTTTAACCTTAACTCGTGTTTGGTATTATCGCTCCTTGATTTGGCTATACAGACAGGGAGGATGTAGTTATCCTTTCTTCTAGTATGGATGGGGACAATGTCGTTTCATTAGGAATCTTGTAATGTGGTTCTGTACTGGTTTTTCATATCTCTACGCATTGTTTTAAGTTCCATTACCTGCTGCAAAAGGAATTAACAAATGGTAAGGTAGCATCTATCAGATAGTGGATTTGGTTCTGGTCTTTTTTTAGTTGCCTCTGAAGATTGGTGGTAAGTTTCTGTTTCTTTTGGTTGCTGCTCACTCCGAGGTGGAAGTGGCACTGAAGCTTTTGGATCAAGGGTTATAATGGATTGTTCTGGAAATTGAATTTGGTTGTTTATGGAAATTCTTGCAGATCCCGTTCAAGATCAAGATCTCCAGTTGATTCTGTAAGTGAAAGCTTTCATTCCATTATCACCACCCTATGTGCTGGAATACAGCTCCCTGTTTGCTTACTGTATTCTATTGTCCTTGTTGATGTGCAGCAGCCTCGCAGCAAACAAGACTATAGAACCCCAAGCAAAAGCCCCACTCATTTATCTCGGCCCTGTTCGCCTTATGTATGACCCTTCTCACAGCTTTGATGCTCTCCATTATTTCATCTTGTACTCCGTTTCAAACTTTAATTTGACACGTGATCATGGTTGCATGGGACAGTTGGGATCTGATAGAAGTCGTTCAGTAGACTCCATGGATCGTTGAAGAGTGTCTTGCTCTCCTGATCGGGGAACGTTTTTAGTGAACTCTACACCTATAAAGCTAGATATGCCTCGGTTGATGGTTTGGACTATCATCAACTTACTAATCTTATTTGATACTGAATTTAAAGTTAGTGACTCTTTTTTCCCCCGATATTGCTTTTGTTATGGTGTATATGGATGGGGCTGGGATGATCTTATTTTATAGCTCTCGAGGTTTTTGCTATGTTTGTTTTTTTATTGCGGTGTGGTGGGGTTTGTATTTTGTCCGGATTATACATTTGAAAGTCTCCTAGTTTTGTAGAACTTTCTGGATTAAAAAAAAAAACTCTAATTTGTATATTTGTTAAAATTTATTTTATTTTAAAATGTAACTGCAGAAACTAGTCATGCTCGGCAAGCACACGTGGATGACCAAAATCCCCAGCAAGTAATAAATAGCTTGTGGGTGTGTCTTCCCTATATGGGGAAAGACCCAACCACACTGAAAACCCAACCACTCAGTCTATCCGTATCAGCGCGACCCTGAGGTACCTAAAGTAGACCGCTATTATGGTGGCGTTTTTAAGATTACCCGGATTTTTATTTTATTTTATTTGACCCTTGATTAAAGTGAAGGTGGATAGAATCTAATCTCATTTTTGGCGGGAGTTGGACGCGAAGGTGATATAAGGTTTTATATATGAGATATTTGGTAATTTTATTTTAAATTGTTTTTTATTTAGAAATATATTAAAAAAAAATTTAATTTTTTTTAATAGAAAGAAAACATAAAAAATTTATATAATTTTATTTTTAAAAAAATTATGAAGCGTGATGCAACTGTCATTTAATCCGGTATTTGACCCAGTTTCCAACTATTTGTAACCTGTGTTTTTTTTTTTTTTTATTATTATTCTATGGAGTTGTGATTTTATTTTTTAATAGTGCATAAATTTTTATCTTCTTATTCATTAAATGTTTTTATAGTTTTATACAAACATGTAATATATTTTTTAAGCTTATATTTTATTAGTTAAAAAATTATTAAAAATAAAAATAAAAATAAAAATCAGGTCTAGTCGAGTATTTATGGATACTTTGTCAGGTAGAGAAAGTCAACCCTAGGTTGCAAAGGAGTGGATTATTTAGATATTTTAGGTACGGTTGAGGTGGAGCAAAACCCGGTTTTCGGGTACACTATGGGCGAAATAAGTAGCATATTGATTGGGATACAGGATGTACTGTACTTCGTTGTGGTAAGTTTTCAACTTCTTTGCTGAAGCAAGGAAGTAACTGGCCAGTGAGTCAAGCAACAAATGTTTTTAGATTCTCCATGGATCAAGGCAGGTCCGAAGTGAGTTCCGTCATCTTGCTGGGAGCTTATTCATATGGCTTCAAATATCGGTTATGGTCATGGTAATGGCACGGCAAGCCCATCATGGGCGTCTCACAATGTCCATTGATATATATTGTGGTGGCGGAGGGCTGCTCAACTTTACTATCCAACATTTGATATTATTTATATCCTCGAAGGCAAAGAAACGAGAGGAAGCAAAAGTCCATCACACAGCCAGGTGGCTGCCAAACAGATCGTTTTTTCAGGGCCACTCAACAGTATTTTGAGCCTGCCAGGATTGACAGGCTCCAAGCATTATATATCATTTCTCAAGCATACATAATTTGGTTTCAGCCACAGTAGGGGTAGTTTGCTTCACCCAATAAGGATAATGATGAAAGTGATCACCGATTTTGTGATGACATTCTCTCGGATCCATGCCTTTGGCGGAAGCTGCCAGATCTGATGCTGGGATCTGAACCACCACCAGCCTGATGGAATGTGCTCCTACCTGAATCTCTGTCAACCTGACTTACTGAGAATGGTGGCAAGTGACTTTCCCATGAACGATATCGAGCTGGAGGAGGATTTTCTGCTTCTTGGAAGTTCCGACTTGATGCTCCTGATGGGATGAAATAGAAGCCAGTCTGATCGGATGATGAGGCAACCGTTCCCACTTGAGACAAGCCTCTATGACTGCTGGATCTTCGGCTTCCAGAAACAACTGGTGTGTGAATGGGCGGAGAATTTCCAGGCTGTTGTTGTTGGTAGTATGCCTGAAGGGCTTGAACTCTATCACGTGCCCGTGCATTGCTACCCTGGTAAGGTGGAATCATTGAGGAAGCAACGGCACTCCCAGTTCTAGCACTAGAACTGTGGAAGAAAGAGGTGCATATGATGCAATTATATAATCCAGAATGAAATGAAATGAAATACAAGTAAAAACAAAGGGGATATCTATTTCAAATGCCGAGGATTATCTGTTTCTTCAACCTAAATGGTGTCAGGTGGAAGCCTACAATTAACTACATTTTACACGGCAAAGAAATTAAATTTTCTGAAGACATACATACCTATGACCAACAAGGAATGGATGCATTAAAGATCCTGACCTTGGTGGAAGATCTGAACTAGTTCTAGCTGACCTTTGAGTAACAGGTGGAACTGAAGGTTGATCTGCATTACCTATTCGATTGCCTGTTGTTGAGAAGGGAGGAGAATGGTGCTCCCAACTGTGATAATGGATATCCATGGCAGGAAAAGCATAGGAACTAGGGATCTCACTAGGTACTGAAGGGCCGTTCCAGTGATTGTTAAAACTAGAACCATCTGAAACACTGACACCAGAGTTCGTAGATGAAGGGTGAATTGGTCCAAAATAAGCAATATATGGGCATGGATGGGTAGCAGATGATACTGCTGCAGTATGTTCGGCGAATATGGCATGCCCTAATAGATCATGATCTGCATCATAATATCAGTCCTATCAATACAGTTATCCATAGCGCCACCAGTGCTAGAATCTGAAAGAGAACCATTACATAAACAGGACAGAGGAATCTCTTACATGAATTTGATGGAAATTCTCCTTCCCTGCAACATAGAAAAAATGTAACACCTTAGACAAAAAGCAGTGCCCTACTTGAAAACAGAAACAGAAACCAAGCAGACTGAATATATAGAAAAAGTAAAACTATTGCTCCTTTAGAACCTAAAGCAGTTTCAAGGTACAGGAATTGGTGCATTCCTCCGATCCATTTGTTTCCAAAGATCACATCATATCTATTGAACCACATAGTTTTACCCAAAATGCAGAAGAAATAAAAGAATAATCATTGACAGCCCGAATTTCAACTATCTCAGACTCCACCATCTAGCTGACACAAAAATCTGGTGCCGTTACCATGACTTGCGGTATTACATAGGCAATGCAAGTGGCAGATTGTAGTGGGAATTAGCCAATAAAACTCAGAACTTGTCTGATTCTATGGTAACATGCGGATTGCAACTTGTAGGTGCTCCGTGTAAAACTCAGTGTTTCTTGCAATTGTTTGATCACACAACAGATCTAAAACATCAGATTCTCAAGCTAAGCACATTATCAAGACTCTTTCAATCAAACGCTCTAAGTATTGCATCTTGAGAGCAAGTGATTGCCAATCAAGACATGGATAAGAGGAAAAGCTACAAGCATAAGATTAAGCAAATCCCAAATCATGACCCTTGGAGGGATAGATGTTCACTATTCAAATCACAGATTGCAGCTTTCAAAAGACCTTAAAGGAAAACATGGACTAGGCTGCATTTCCCAAAAAACCTGTTGGCAAATCAATTTTCCATTAGAAATCTGCCGCCCACATGCCCAATTATTCAATATTCAGTTTTCAGTCACACTTTATTTGTTTTAAAAGCCCAAAAAAACATTGCAAGATACAGGCCAGCTACATTTCACAGAAATAGTAACAGTTGGCACATAATTTTCCATTCGGAACTGCAGCATGTTCCCAATTATTAAGAATTCAGCTTTCTGCGATCACTTTCTTTGTTTTAGCTCCAGGTTTCACAGCTAAAAAATACTTCTCTCCTCCAGTCTCTTTGGGGTACCATCTGATTTCCGTATTAAAATCTTCCAATATCATACAAACACATACACCCACACACATATTAAAATCTTCCAATATCATACAAACACACACACACACATAAGAGTGCAGGTGTGTAAAATAGCAAGTGGAAAACCAATGATTAGAAAATTTAGTATAGGAACTAAAACAATAATGACTTTGAGCTCTAAAATGTAATTAATGCTTACTCAAAGGATGAAGGCAATCGTGCTAGGCTACCAAATGGACACCAATGAACTCCAAAGGACTGCAAAAACATTTAGAACAAAAAAATAAGGAGTGATAAATTTAAGTTATGTAAACAGCCCTACATGCACAGAATTAATTCCTTCAATGCATGTCATACCACAACCAGAAATACTACTGAGAGAAACTTGCAGAAAACACAAATTTAGGTGCCAACAGCACAAAGATTTAAAAGTAACTGTCCAGAAGGATGAGTCATTTCTATGATTTATCTAAGCATGAATAAAGCTATCTATATAATAAAGAGAGATGCAGATAGAAGAATAAACCTATTACTTTTGGAAAGGCTACGGCTAAGGCATAGAGCATTCGAAGTACAAAGTTAGACAGGATAGAAAAACCTTTTGATCCACCTCACTTTAGTAAAGCTCTCAGTTGCACTTTGGTAGCCTCTTCAATTCATCTCCCGAGGAAAATCCAAGGAACCTAGGGAACTGCAAAATGGCAAAGTTGTCCTTGTGCCTAAGTTCCAGGGACAAAACAAGTTTTAATCTGGCAATCTAATACAATCACTAATCTACCTGTGTGGCTGTGTCATTCTCCAAATTTAAGATACCAGGTATCTTGTTGCAAAGAAGATTGAGAATTCAACCTTACTTCCTAAGGTCCAAACTACAGAAAAAGAAAGAGGCCATGATGTTGATTTCATTGATGGTTAGTATTTCAACAATGAAGTTTGTATAGGCACCCAAATTTCTTTCTCCTTCCAATAAACCTGAAAAAATTTGCACACGCATCCTATCCAACTTGGTTCATTTATCTAAAACACCTAGTTGAAGATGGCTAGACTTTGCTGATTTGCTTTCTTTAATGACATGGAAAGATAAGGAAAAGGCTAAAAAAATAAAACATAGCCAAAAGCCTGGTTATACCACGCGACCGAAAAAGAAGAGGAATGTTCTTGTAAAATTCTCAAACAATCAAAAACATTTTCTTTTATTACAGCAACAGCAACCCTTAATTAGCAAAGCAAACCCAAATTAAAATAAATCCTAGCCTTCAAAATAACTTAATCTTAACCATCCAAACACTATAATAAGATAATGCAAAAACTGAACAGAAAAGGTAAGTAAACCCAATTGAAAGAAACTTGCTATGGTTACCCTTAAAACTTGACATACTATGATCTTGATCCTGCACCATTTGGTATATCCTAGTTTTATGGCTTTCTCAGCATTTACAATGGGAAGGAAACTACTTAGATAGCACTTTCAATTATACAGATTCTAGCTTTACATGCAATTAACCAAAGAAATTGACATTTTTACATCCATCCTTGATATTCAAAGTGCCTATGGACAGAAACAAATACTAATTACAAACAACAAAGGGTTGCCGCAATTAGGGGGTACTTGAAAGTTTAACATAGCATCAAAACTCAAAAGTAGATAGAAGGTGAACAGCAATGTTTAATTGACCACCATAAATGTGAACAGAATAAAAGCAAAGTACACATTTAGAGAGAGAAAAAATCATTTACCATTTCAGACTTTAAGAGAGAGAAAAAAATCCATTTACCATTTCAGAGTAACTTAAGTCATAAAGGTCCTCATCATGTGCCCAGTCATCCATGGTAAATTCTGGCAGTGAACGGCAGCCATTTGCATAGAGCCATTGACCCTTCTCAATTTTCCGACAATTAGGGCATTGCATTGCACCCTTTACATTAAATGCTGAACCGATGCAATCTGAAGATCATCATGACAAGATAAATTTCAAGCAAAGGGAAAATACAAACAAATACTAAGTAAACAATGAAATGCAAATGCAAAGTAAACGATGAAATACAGGTGAACAAATCAATCTGCCAGTAAATTAAAAAAAGCCTCGCTGGTATTCTCCAAAGGAGAGCAAAACAGACATGGAAGCATAGCGGGAAAAAAAAAACATAAAGAAAAAAAAAATCTCCAAGCATTCAATCATACAAAGAATCAAAATTGATGCTCCCAATGGAAGACCATTGAACCCAAGCACAGCTTTTCGGAAAAGCCTGTAATGGATTATCGTATATGCAATTTTCAAGGATCCAATTCCATGTTCTCCAACAAACAGTTATTGTGAATCTCTTGCCTCCCTCGCAAGGCATTTGTTGTGTTGTATTCCACTTATTTCAAAAACATAATTGATAGATATCTAACTTTCATTTTGAATAGCAAAAGGAGAGTAAATTTAGATGAAATTAATCCTGTGTGATGATATCTAAAGGGTAGCGTTTGGCATAAAGTGTTTTCCAAAGTAAAGTAAGTATTGCTGGATTGTACTTCTCAGCCACGCCACAATGTTACCAACCCGGAAAAGTAGACTGACAAGAATTAGAGGGAGAGCAGCCTAAGAGAACTGAGCAAGATTACTTAGCAAAAAGCATTTCTCAGTGAAGCAAGATTAGGGTTTTGGTATCTTCACTCTGTTAAAGACAAACACACACATTAAGGAACTGCAGAAATCTTCATAAACAAAGCTATCCTCAGCGCTCTCTTGTCAAAGCATGACTTCCGATTAGCTTAAATAACTTAAAGCTGTAAAAAATTCCATTAGTTGCAACCTCATTCCTAATTCAGAACCACCCTCTCCCCACCATTTCAATCACACAACATAACTCACTGCCGATATCTCATATCTCACAATCTCCGGTCCCAAATTCCAAAATCTAAAATTCAATAGATATGCAAATCTAACAGC